TAATATTATTTTGATGTTATGACTTATGAATTATCATTATTTCATTTATTTGAATGTGTTATTTGGTTGAATGTTGAAAATAGCTTCATTAAAATTGTCAAACTGCAAATCTCCCATTATTTTTCTTGCGCCCGCCTAAATTCCATCTAGGCTCTGCCCGAAAGCCTGCCTAACACCTAGCGCCTACTGCAACCATTACAGTTATACAAAACAAACGTTGACATTGTACGTACATAAAGATAATGTCATGTTCACATTAACACTCAAATAATGACAGAACGGTTGTATGCAATAATAAGTTGCATATTGTCCAGCTTGGAGATCAGATAAGGAGCTTATCTAAGCAATGACTATATAAGGAATCTATATTTATGAACTACCATACCATGTCCATTAATTAAGTAATCGTATTTTTACCAAATGGGCAAATAACATGTTTAAATCATGTAAATGATTAAAAATACAGTGTGATATGAAAACGGTTGATCGAATTTTGATCCTTTATTTTCCAACGAATTATGACTTTATGTAAAATTTAATTATTTATATTTAACCAGGGTTAATTCCAGAAATGGTCTCTTGACTATTGACATTTACCAATTTTTATCTTTTGACTTTCAATTGGACCATAAATGGTCCATTGACTATTGATTTTGTTCCAAATTTGGTCATTCAGTTAAATATTCATTTAATAAACATTAAATTTAAAAATAATAATGTAAAAATTAGCTTGTTGTTGAGATTGACAAATTGAGTTCATCGTTATGAAGAACTAAAAATTTTACATTATTACCCTTAAATTTAATGTTTATTAAAATGATATTTAACTAGATGACTAAATTTGAAAAAAATCAATAGTCAAGGAACCATTTATGGTTAAATTGAAAGTCGATGGCGAAAATTGATAATGATGAAAAGTCAAGGGATCATTTATGGTCCAATTAAAAGTCGAAGGATAAAAATTGGTAAATAACAATAGTAAAGGGATCATTCCTGGATTTAACTCTATATCACCAAAATGTGTTAGTTATAGAAAAGAGTTTGAAGGTAACACAGTCGAGTTGGTTTGGCCTGGTAACCACAAGTTCCAAATTTAACTCATTGTGTTAGATGCTTATTGGCCTTCTCGGTTTAAACTTATGGGCAACTTAAACTGGTTTATCTCATGCGTTTCACCTAAAGCGCACATTCGGGTAGTGATTACATATTTTCCTGTAAATTAAAGAAGAAAAGGTTTTTAATTCGTTTATGTATAAGGTTGATAGATTATTTCATAAACTACGTCCAAAAATTACAGGTTTTATTTATGTTTTTTTGAATGATTAAGGAAACCTATAGCTCAAACCCGAATGTGTATACTAGGTAAACTCTGCACTTGTGTAATATACTACAAATTACACAAAGTTACAGAAGAAGTAAATCATATTAGAAGACTAGTATGACGGGTTGATTGAAAGAGTTTTATTTATGTTTTTGAATTCTAGTTGAAGTGAGTTATTGTACGAAATCTATATGTTGTACAAATGAGGCTCATGGACCCTTCATTTCTGGTTTTTTGCTTATTTTGACATGCTCCTTATAAAATCAATTGGAGCCTAGCTACTTGCCCTAAATTTTGCATTATCATGAATAGTAGCCCGGACCCAAGTAGTCGACATATATGGCAATATGTTATTTTGGTTCTATATTGAATTGACATTTGGAATTCTTTATTCATTTAAGTTGATACTTCAATCTCAATATGGTGTCGAGTTTTCTATGCATTCATATTTAATTTTAGGTGCACCAATAGAGTTGTAATTTAATACTATTTATATATCAATTTATAAAATATAGTTGTGTACTTAGGGATGTATCTAATCTATAAATTTAAAATTTTAGACAATATGTATTCAAATTATATTATTTAAAGAATCTTTAAAAATCGGATAGTATTGCTTGGATTAAGACTTTTAAATTGTATTTAAAAGTTGAGTAATAGTTTATTCATATTTTAAATAGTCATTAAAAGTTAATTGATATTCAAAAAGTAATGAACTTTTATAAAATCTCTTATGTTATGCTTTTTGTATTCTCTTTTGTAAATTGGTAAAGAAGTGATGAATTTACATTATTCAGAAGAGATATTTATACTACAAAGGTGAAACTAAAACTACTAAACTCAAGGTAACCACAGCAATAAATACGAAACAAACTTAACAAACTAACCACAACCAATCACTATATTATCTCTTATCAATAAATTGATGAAATCTATTAAAATATATCTCTAAATGCTAGACTTCTAAACTTTTTACTCTATCAACTTTAAAAACCTTTTCTGCCTAAATGATATAAATATTTTTTTCCCTACACTCTTAAAAACTTTTCTCCAAATAACACAAACTCTCTAATGATATTTTCTTTTTGCAATCACCGAAATAAAAGCTCTTTCCTTCAAGATCTCCACTAAAAACACATTTGAATATTCTTTTTTGAGTGGTGTATTACTTTTTTCCATAATATTATATTATTTGGTAAAAGTGAGATTCTAAATTTAAGATTAGAAGTCAAATTAGCTACTAAATTATAGACCAGAATGTAATTGGCTATCTAACTCGAAATTACAATTGACTTCTTAAACAACTCAAATTTGTGTAATTAGGTATTAAAAAAAAAAAACAGACATATTCTACAAGTTAACATATAACATGGCGGTTAACTTTTAAAAAATATTTTTCATCAATTTTAAATATTTAAAATTAAAATTCATTTTGGTATATTAGTGGTTGAAGATTGCAGGAAAGTAAGAGAAAAAGGGTGGGTTCATTTTATAAAATTGAAAGCTTTAAAATTTGTAATAATTATAAAATTGACTTGAATTTTTTTTATATACAAAATTTTCAAATATTAATAAACCCTAATGTATAGTTAACATCAGTCCTCACCTTTTACAGGAGATCATGTTTTCATTTGATCGTACCCCTATATATGTATATATAATTTGGTAAAAATGAATAATTTTGTAAAGATTAATCGCCATGTCAGTGATTAACTTGGACAATAAGTCATTTGTTTTACCTGATTGCATGGCATGAATTAGGCTTGTTCAGTGAGTCAATCGTAGTTTTTGAGTTGGATGACTCAATTGTTTTTTCATATAATTCAGTGACTAATTTAACCATTATTTTCTATATTTATAATACACTATTTTTATGATAACTATTTTCTTTTTTTAAATTACAATTCATAAATTTATTTAAAATCTATAAAATTATATGATATATCATAAAAAAAATTAAAGGAAATTATAATATAAATAATAGGTATTAATAGAAGTCTATGAAAAAGTTGTAAATGTGCATTTAAAAATTTAATAATTCCTACAAAATTTATGTAAATGTAAACAAATTTTATATGTTTAAAATTATAAAATTATTATTTTAAAAATTTAATATTGTATTGGGCGCACCTGTTATAATCAAGATTATATTCAACGTAATAGAAATTTGAAAAATAGGGAGGAAAATGAGGGTGTGAGCAATTCTTCTGCGTGGCGATTATCAGTGTCGGCTTGTCGAGTCACGTGCATGACCTATGGTATGTTTGAATTTTTTTTTTTCCTCATAAATAATTAAATTACTGATATTACAAAATCAAATACTCCGTAATTAATATAATTTTCAGTAGTAAGGATATGCTTGGTACATTTTATTTAAAATAATTAGAACATGATTCATGTATATATATCTTGCAATAACCAATAATACAAAGAGCGTGTACGATGAAATTTTTAAATTGAGCTGGCACAAAAGTAAAAGAAAAAAAAAAAACGAGAAAATATACATACACCAAATATATAAAATAAACATTTTAGGAATGTTTTGAAAAAAGGTTTTGGGACAAATTATAATAGTGTGAAATTGACTTGGTATAAATAGTTAAATACTAATGAAAATTGTTCATCAGCTAATTGACGTGGCAATAAAATGTTTTAAATTCATTAATTAGCATGAATTGATCGGCCTCATATCATTTCATTTTTTAAAAAATAAATATGTTTATATATTTTTTTGCATTAAATGATGAAATTTTTAAATCCCATAACATGATCGCAATAGACGAAGGTAATAGTCCTATATTATCTCACCTTAATGTTAAGGTGGCGTGGACAATAGATTAATAATAATGTGTGTACTCCATTTAAGGGAGTACAATGGTTTTATTTGATTGTATATTCTTGTCAAAAATTTAAAGTTATCAACTAAACTAGGGACCAGTACTTAGCTTGTTGTATGAATGGATATATATGATTGGGCACATGGAGGGTGACAACTTATATCATGAGAAAAATGGGAATAAATTCACCGACAAGTGAAAAAATAAAACAAAAAAGTCATCTAGCTTCTTGTACTAAATATAGAGTTTTCAATATATACTCTCTTAATCTTGTTTAATTTTATGTATCGAATTTGGTTAATAAAATTTGATTCAATTTAAATTATTTACCATTCAATTTTTTGTAATATTTGCATTGAACTTCGACTCAAGTTGTTGATTTTGGTCTGTTTCAATCCGCAATTTCAAGACGCCTTTACCTTTTTTTTTTTTTTTTTTTTTTTTTTTTTTTTTTTTTTGTAGAAAAGATAGCTGATATCAGATTGCTTTCCTATGTTTTTAGGTTGAATATCATAATTAGGTTTGAGTTGTATAAATATCTGAAAATGGTTTTTAAAGAGTTCGAAACCTTTTTCAGGCAATAATATTTTACAACAGTTATTCCTAATTTTCTTAATTTCAGACCAATCGTGTTGGCTAACCGTTGATGCCTAAATCGAAAAACCAACAACATATATAATAACCATCAAAATTGCTTCTTGTTTGTGTCTATATGTCTAACTTCCATCAACGTATAGTAACCTTGTCAGCCTATCATCAATACATTCATTCATCTCCCGTGGGACCCTGCAATAATATATCTTCCTATTATATATACCCTTTGTGCAATGCTCTCAATATTCATATCCTCCTAGCAATCCAACCACTCAAGTACAAACATTATTGTTTATCCACATACACTTTTGTGGATTAAGTAGTATCTCTTTTTCTTCCAGCTTTTTCCTTTTCAATTCCATCCAAGAATTGAATATGGCTCTTCAGCTACTTTCTTCTCTCCTAGTTCTGGTGTTGCTCCCTTCAAGCAATGCCCAGGGTCCCCCTTCCCCTGGCTACTACCCTAGCTCTAGGGTTCGAACCCTAGGGTTTTACCAGGGCTATAGTAACCTTTGGGGTTCTCAACACCAATCTTTGGACAATCAGGGCACGTTAACAATCTGGTTGGATCGAACCACAGGCGGTAGGTCTTACATTAATTACTAGCTCCCTTTTTATTTTTACATTATAATCACTTATCACCGCAACTTATAATAAGTTTATCTAACATGGTAACAAATCATTTGTATCTTTTTTTTGTTGAATAATACAGGAAGCGGATTCAAATCTCTCCGGTCATATCGGTCAGGTTATTTTGGGACTTCCGTCAAGCTCCAGCCGGGTTATACTGCCGGAGTTATAACATCTTTCTATGTGAGAACTTGATCACAGAAATATAATATATAATTGTTTTAAAAAAATAAATAAAGTATTTAATTGATATATTATATTATGTGTACTATATATGTCAGCTTTCAAACACCGAACAGTATCCGGGGTACCACGACGAAATCGACATTGAGTTCCTCGGAACGACGCCGGGAAAGCCGTACACCTTGCAAACCAATGTGTACATACGAGGAAGCGGCGACGGCCACATCATCGGACGTGAAATGCAATTCCACCTTTGGTTCGACCCCACCCAATCTTATCACCATTATGCTATTCTTTGGAATCCTAATGAGATCATGTCGGTAACACTATCCTCTTCTCATCCCTTTTCTTTTATAATATCATCATATCATCTGTCACAGTCAATTACTACGTAATGTGATGATACTTTTGTTATTATTCTAAATAGCTGGTCGTAAAATTGAACTATGATGGCGGTCTGGTGGGCATTATATTGATTCTTTGGGCTGAGAGAGATTAAGAAAGTATAGAACAGATAATCTACGACTTAATTAAAGTTAATTGATTAATTTTATAATATTCTTGGAATAAAAATATAGCTTTAATGATTCACTAACCGGGATTAGTTAAACACTAGATGAGTAATACTACATAAAGTAGGATTAAAGAAATGCATTTGTTTAATGATTGTTGTGTAGGTGACATGAGCCCTCAATATGCTATTTTTGTCTGAAAATTGTTTGTATTCAATAAGGTAGACCCACACACGAATCATAAAGTTTTGTAATTTAGTTTTCGTGGGATCCCATTTTTCTCCTAACGTGTCGACTCACTGTTGCGCCGACGTTGACTGCAGATTTTTCGTCGACGACGTGCCGATCCGACGGTACCCACGGAAGAGCGACGCGACGTTTCCGGAGCGGCCGATGTACGTGTACGGGTCGATCTGGGACGCGTCATCGTGGGCCACCGAGAACGGGAAGTACAAGGCGGACTACAACTACCAGCCGTTCGTGGGGCGTTATCGGGATTTCAAGATCGGCGGTTGCGAGGCGTCGGCGGCGGCCTGGTGCCGGGCGACCCCGAGCTCGCCGCGCGGCTACACGGGGCTGAGCGCGCAGCAGTACGCGGCGATGGCGTGGGTGCAGAGGAACCATAAAGTGTACGATTACTGCCAGGATCCTCGGAGAGACCGCACGCAAACACCGGAGTGTTGATGACGATGAAGATTGAAGAAAATAAGGTTTGAATTGTTTAGTACAGTTTGGATGGATGGAGGGTGTTGAGATGGGTTCCACTTGCCTTGAATGTACGAGAAATGGTAGTTGAAGCGTCCAAGCCTTCCAATCCAGGTGTGATTGGGAAATGATTTTACGTTTCTTGTCTTGCTCTTTTGTTTGAAAAGAATTCTGAAATATACATATATATCTATACTCCCTAGTCCCTACAAAGTTGTGAAAAAAATATATTATTAATAAAGGGTGTTAATGTGTTAATTAGTACTGTAATTTGGCACGCTAGATTACAAATGTACAAATGTATGCATCAGTGCAAATCTATATGAATTTCCTTTTGTTTTTTGTGTACCTATGGAGTATAATATTTTGAGTTTTCACGTTCAAATATTTTTTTATGGTTTAAGCATAATAGTCCAATCAACTTGATAGGACCAATTACAACGATAATTATTGAAAAAATTAATTAACTCGAGAAAATAACTTAGTTAAAACTTAAAATAGCACTTGGAAGAATTATTATCATCAAACTAACTGTTGAAGAATAATAATTGTTATGAGCAAACTAAATGAATGTATAAATATTTATATTTCTGCTTGAATAGTCATTATCCTACAATGAATGGTCATGAAGGTCCATTATCTCTCCATGAAAAGGTCATGGATAGGCCCATTATTTCACTATGGAAGGTAACTTAAAGGAGTATGGTTTACCTATCCTAGTACATACTTGCGAATAGTAACTGCATGTCTCCATGCCGATTTTGTTTGTAAAAAAAAAAAAAAAAAAAAAAAAAAAGTTTAGACGGAAAATAATTTTTAGATATTTTCATTACTTAACCAAGTAGGCATGCAAATTAAAACCAATAGATCAGAAGATGATTGCTAGCTCTGTTGAAATAAAAAGACATGCATGCATTATGAATGGTGACTTAGCTTGGTGAGTAATATATTTGCATGTCATTTTCATCTTTTATCTCTCTCTCTCTCTTGCTCCCTTTCTATAAATAAGAATATCACTTTGTTAAGTGGAAGATATCTCCAAACCATCAAATTAAGATGTGATATTTTGGTGAGTAATATATTCAAGTGAATATTGTAAAAAATGCCCCTCTATAATATGTCAATTATCAATGTCATCCCTGAATTATGAGTGGTGTAAATGTTGCCCCTTAATTATCAAAATGGTGCACATGTAGCCCCTCCTGTAACGGATCTGTAGGTCCCCACCGCTGTCCATCGCTGGTACTTCGAATCGAGGGAGGGAAAAAACAACTAAATTACATATTTACTCCGACTTAACGGTGTCGTACACTAACAGAGAACCATATGTCCGTTACGGGAGAGGTTATATGTGCACCGTTTTGATAATTGAGGGGCAACATTTATACCACTCATAATTCAGGGATAACATTGATAATTGAAATATTATAGAGGGACATTTTTTTACAATTTTCCCTATATTCAATATAAATCATTTAGTAATTAATAATTAATTAACGGAATACGTAATAGTGAAGAGTATTTTACAGGGCGTTTGGTTGGAAGGGGGAATTATGTGGGAAAGAAATTGTAATTCCATGGGAGTTGAATTATTGGGAATAAAGTGGAATTTAAATTCCAGTGTTTGGTCGACAGGAATAGAATTACTAGGAATTTCAATTCCAATGTTTGGTATACATGGGAATTGAAAGGGAATAAGTAGTATAAAGTCAAAAATATCCATTATTGTTGTTAGACATTAATTTTAGGTTAAAAAAGAAAGGGGTAATTTTAACTCATCACTATCTTTTTTTTTCCAGGAATTAAAATACCAGGGGGGACATGGGATTTTAATTCCGTGAAAATGGGGGAATTGCAATTCCCTCCAACCAAACTACGGAATTTAATGGCCTTTGGAATTAGGTGAGAATTAAGTGGGATGAGAATTTAAAATCCCTCCAACTAAACGCCCTGTTATAGTTCGTAGTTATAAAATACCCTATAACTTTTATTTAAAAATAAAAAATAAAAAATCTGAAGCTAGTAAGCCCCATTATATTTTAACGTTGTGTTATATTGGGCACAAGTCATTCCCGTTTCTTGGGCCGATGGTATGAGTGTACGAGGGCAAATTATGCCCTGGACCCGTGTCCACAGTGAATTGTGGACACGGATACAAAACGACGTCGTTTTTTAAAAAAAAAAAAAAATGCATCATTTAGTTTAAAAAAAAAATTCGTGCGCGTTTTACCGTTAACGGCGTTATTTTTTTTTTTGGATTATGAATGTACAGTTATGCCGTTATGAATGTACAATTATGCAATTATAAAATTATGAACATAGAGCTCTAACATTATGAACTTACAATTATGAATATATATAGTGATAAAATTATGACCATGGAGCTTTAAAATTGTGAATATAGAGCTTCGAAGATTATGAATGTACAGTTATGGAGTTATGAATCTACAGTTATGGAGTTATGAATCTACAGTTATGAGATTATGAATCTACAGTTACGGAATTATGAATGTACAGTTATTGATCGAATTATGAACAAAGAGCTCTAACATTATGAACTTACAATTATGAACATATAGTAATAAAATTATGAACATAGAGCTCTAAAATTGTGAACATAGAGCTTCGAAAATTATGAATGTACAATTATAGAGTTATGAATGTACAGTTATGGAGTTATGAATGTACAGTTATAGAGTTATGAACGTACAGTTATGGAGTTATGAATGTACAGTTATTAATAATATAGTAATAAAATTATGAATATATACTCCTATAACGAAGCGTCTGAAATTTAAAAAAAAAAAAAAAAAAAAAAAAAAAAAAGATAACAGTGCCTAACGGCACTGTTACCCGTGTCCAGCAAGCATGCTGGACACGGGTCCAACGCATAACGATTGGTGTACGAGGCTATAGGTCTTGTATAGTGCGGGCAAATTATGCTGTGGACCCGGATCTAAAACAGCGTTGTTTTGAAGCAAAATGGCACTGTCTGAATTTTATTTTTTTTAAAAAAAAACTTACTTCCTTCCTTGCTGTTTGTTTTCAAAATTCGTTTCTCTATATTCATGATTTTAGATCTCAATATACAAAATTACAAAACTCAATATTCACAATTGCAAAATTCTATATTTACAATTTTTAAACTCTATATTCACAATTAAAGAACTCTATATTCAACAATATAACACAATTTTTGAAGTTTATATTCACAAAAAAAAAAATATCATTGGTTGAGGGAAACAGTGCCACTAAGGGCACCGTTATCTAGCGCAAAGCTGCGTTGTTTTGGACCTGGGTCCACCTTGCAAGGTGGACCTGGGTCCATGGCATAACAATTGGTATAGTCTGTAGTCGCAAATTATTATGTGGACCTTGTCCATCTTGCTAGGTGGACCCGAGTTCAAATGTATACAATTTACATACTATTTAAAAGCTCTAATTGATATCATTTAAATGATACTTATATTAGTTTTTAAAAATAAACTTACATGTACATAAAGTTATTATTTTAGATGGATAAATTCAATTTATAAAAGTCATCACTATTGTAAATACATAAATTCACTATATATTGTATTTAAATGATATTTATATTAGTTTTTAAAAATAAACTTACATGTACATAAAGTTATTATTTTAGATGGATAAATTCAATTTATAAAAGTCATCACTATTGTAAATACATAAATTCACTATATATTGTATTTAAATGATACTTATATTAATTTTTAAAAATAAATTTATATGTACATAAAGTTATTAATTTAGGTGCATAAATTTAATTTATAAAAGTCATCACTATTGTAAATACATAAATTCACTATTGTATGTCTCCTTTTTATATACATGTAGTATATTTTTATGTATGTGTATTTATCATGCAAGAGGATATATACTAGCCAACAATATATACATACATATATATATATATATATATATATATATATATATACACACACATATTTGGATTTTTATTTTTCAATATAAACATCTATCTTTGTTGATAATTATGCTTTTAAAAAAAAAAAATCGATCACCAATGATCACATAACAAGTTAATTCTTTTTAATAATGGGAAAATGAAACTTTTTCCCCCTGAGTTACATACTTATAGCACTTTTTTTTCCTCAATTATTTAGGTAAGCACATTAGCCCCCTCAATTATTCTAAAAGTGGTGGTTTTTTCCCTGATATATTAAATTGACATTTCTACCCTTAAAGTAAACATTTTATTTATTTTACTTCTCCAACAAATTATTGCGTATACGTAGGGATGACCACGGTTCGGTTCGAACTGAACCGGACACTAAAGCAATCGAATTAAAAAATTTCGGTTGTGATTCAGATCTATAACCCAACATTTGGATTTCAATTTATTAAAATTATGAATCAAACAAATTGGATCCTGAACGGCTAAACCGTGAACCGAGGGTTCCAGATCCGGTTTGCGATTTTGAACTGTCTTTATTTTAAATTTTTGTTTTTTATTTTAAAATAGTCTAAATTCAACAATAAATGTATTTTATTTTTTCAGTTCGGAACATGAACCGTCCGTTCCGGTTCGCGGTTTTAATAAACTTTAAATATCGGGTTTCGATTCTAAATTGTAATTGGAATATTTCGGTTTGGTTGCTATAGTGTTTGTTTGGTTAGAATCAAATTATGGTCATAATTTGTTGGAGAAGAAAAATAAATAAAATATTTATTTTAAATATTTATTTTAAGGGTAAATATGTCCATTTAACATTTCACGGGGAAAAACGGCCACTTCAATAATTGAGGGGGGAAAAGTGCTATAGGTATATAACTCAGGGGAAAATACCATTTTCCCTTTAATAATGGTTGTTACTTGTTAGTATTTAATGTTACCAATGATTGGTAATACTAACTGAAGAGTTTTTTGGATTTCAAATATTTTCAGAAACATTGTTATCATTTACTAACCCTAAATTGTTTGTCATTGTAAATTTAATGGTCAGAAATTTGAGATTTTTTAGCAGTGAGATAAGCTTTTCAACTTTGGTTATTAACAATGTCGACTCAATTTTTAAGGGTTGCTACTCAACAATCCACACTTCTATAGGGATAGGGACCAGAAGTGCCATCGAATCCTCGATTGCTATGTGGCTACTAGTACACCTCATCATCATTTTTGTCAATTTTCTATATTAAAAGGTGATGGAATCTCTTCAAACAAAAAAAAAAAAAAAAAAAAAAAAAAAGTTGATGGAATAATTTATTAGGTGCTGATTAAAGTCGTATGTAATTTTCGAAATAATGTCCTTACGACATGCCCCCCAATATATTAGTGTGTTTGAATTGATGGGATAATGGAAGGAATTGAAAATGAAAGATAAAAGGGTATTTGGCAATTAGTTAATAGTTAATTGTATTAGTTGTTTTGAGTAGATTATAGTATTAGTTGATTATGGACGGCAGATTACTCACGAGACAGATAAGAAATATCGACATTTTTCATGTCCTATGGGAAGGCAATCAATACGCGGGCTAGCTACTTGGCGAGTTTGGTTCTAGCCAGCGACTAGGCACTGTGATTTTGGACCATTCATATGAGGACATTATTATTACTCTGTTGGATAAAGACGCTAGAGGTGTAGTTACGAGAAGAATCTATTAATCTTGGGGTCTTCGGTCCCTCAGGCGTACCAAAAAAGAAAAATTATTAATTAGTTGATTATAAAAAAAGTATTTGATAAATTAATTGTTCACTATTAGCTTATATTAAGTATGTAAGGTATGTTTAGCATATATACCTAACTTGTCAAACACTTAATTTAGTTATTTGTCTCGTCAAACAAATCGAACTTTGACAGATAAGACATTTTCCAAACACCTCCAATACAATTAATAGCAATGTTTCATGAGTATGAGACAATACTGGTTTTGACGCTAACTAAGTTTCTCAGCCAGTAAACTTGTGACTTTGAGGTCACAAGTTTGACTCCATATTGGGGATGACTTATTAGCTTCTCAGTTAAGCCGGTTAGCTTCACCTAGTGTCCATTCTTAAACAACAACTTTGAACTTTTTCGTAAATGTAAAGATAACATATGCGCAATATTAAAATGCCATCATGAAAGATGAGAACCAATATATTCAAGTAGAAAAATAAAAAACTAAAAATATGTAACTAATAGGGAAGCAATATATAAAAAATTAAAAATCATCATAAACAATGCAGATAGTATAATTTGGTCAAAAAGACAATTAAGCAGAAAGGGAGTGATTATCCAGTTCTAATCATGGCAATAATGCCACCGCAAAACGCACGATGGGGATCTTAGGCAATTTTTAATCACAATATATAATGCATGTCACCACATGCACTTAAAAAAATTTTAAACATAAATTGCTCCACCAACATTTGTATTTCATGAGATGAAACTAACATAATAGTCAAGTCTTGATCGAGACCTATTTGAAATATTTCTCAATAATGTTTGTACGTAAATGCATAACTATAACTTTAAATTCATATTGATTTATTCTCAATATTAAGATATGATCAAACTTAAAGTTAACTCATAGAGCAATAAAAATTACCACTAAAATATAGATGCCCAATGGTTTCAGAGAAAAAACTAAACAATGATTTTTGAACAAATGAAAAATTAAAGTTTAGTTTTTTTTTTTAAAGATTTTTATTATTGCAAATCAAGTTTTTTTGTGGGCCCATGTGACTTGAAAATTGACGCGCAAAACGTGTGTCCAAGCTACTGATGCGCCCAACATGGTGCGTGCACGTAAGCAATTTTTTTTTTTTTTTTTTTTAAATTCTGTCAATTTTTTTTTTTTTGTCCTTTTTTCTTTCTCTCTCTTCTACTTGGCATGAGAAAAAACTCGAAAAATCATAAATAATGAGGTTGCTCTAAGACGGTTAATATAAAATATTGAAATCAAATATAATTAAGATATTATAATTTTCCATATATTTATTGATGGGTACTCATACTTTAAATAGCTACCACATTTAAACTTGCTACCTAACAAAGTAGATAATAACTTTTCCCCAACTCCCCTCTATACTATATTCTCACTCAAAAGTCAAAACATATTTCTTAAAAAAAATATATATGTATGGCTTTTTATAATTGATCATATGAAAATGTTCACTTTTTAAAATAATTTAAGATGTAAAACATTATTATCATTTTTTTGTATATGCGCTTTGACCTAGATGTAATTCATTGAAATCACAAAAAGTAAATTCAAATTAAAGATTGTATGGAAATATATATGGATCATTTTACTAATTAACAAATTTGTTCTCAATAAATATATTTTGAAAATACTTTTCCAGATTTAAAAAAAAAAAAAAAAAAAAAAAAAAAAAAAACAATGAATTGCTTTTCACTACTGGAAATTATGAAATTTCCGACCACTTGAAAGTGATCTTAAATCAAGTCGAAAGTCTTGTTCCGACCACTTTTGATATTTGGAAAAACCTTTGTTGCTATTTCCGACCACTTTTTGGTTTCAATTTGATTTAAAGTCACTTTCTGGTGGTCGGAAATTCCATAATTTCCAGTAGTGTTTAAGGATAATTTTATATATTAATCCTAAACTTTGTCAAGACCTTGTGATTTAATGGCACCCGAGTTACACTTCTATATAAAAGGGTGTGGGTTCAAGCCTTGATGGAGGTGACATTGACTCAAAAAAATAGCACTCTTAATTGACCTTATTACAAAAACAACGAGGTATACACACATTGAAAAGAAAAATACTTAATTTATTTTCAACTTTTACTTTCATTTGTGTTCAAATTTAATTAGTAGAAGAACAAAATAAATAGATAAATATCATGGTCTCCTACTAAATTGAGCAATCATATAACATACTAAATTATAGGGAATAGAAAATTGGAGTAAGAATTGGGAGTAAAGGTAAAATTAGTCGTTGAAAATGAAGTGCGTATGTAGTACGGAGTATTAGAGGTATAAGAAGGTGATGATGATAAACCGCGTGGACTACTTTCTTTCTGCCGCTCTCTTCTTTCTTCAACATCTCTCTCTCTCTCTCTCCCACTGCATCCGTGGACCCATCGATTGAACGGAACTCCAAACTAAACCGCAAATTCAGCATCGGATGGTTGTCGTTGAGGATCAATTAGCATTATAGCATATTCCCATTTCCCGCCGCGTTTCCCTTTCTGGGTTTTTCATTCTTCATCACAATCATATTTCACAGAGAAAGGGTAATGATGTACTGATTCCCCAAGATTGCATGAATCAAGTGGTACCCTCTACTCTCTTTCCTTTTGCTTACTGCCCTTTACTCGTATGCCCCCCCGATCATGTGTTTTCTCTGTACTTTTTGTCTACACTTCTTATATAGTATATATGTGCGTGTTCTTGGGGTTGGAGGGAGCGTGGGTGGGGTTCTGGAATTGTTCTTCTGAGAGAAGAAATATAGCATCTTTAGTGGTTGTCAAGGCTAATATTCATATTCTCTGCATTATCTTGTTTGGAATTTGAACATGTGTTTGGCTTTACTTTGGTTACAATGCTGTTCTCTTTTTTTAGTAACAGAATAACAGGTGTTCTGACTGTAATGGATTAAGGTTGTTTCCTGCCCTTCAAGTGTTTCCAAAATTGTCCAAAAAGGCTTTGTTTGTGTCTCAGAAAGAACTAGATTCCATTGAACTAGTGAGCTCCAGCAAATTTGGGGTTTTTTTTTTTTTTTTTTTTTGTATGTAGTCTACCAAATTTCCGTATAATCAACTAATTCCTAGCCCTACCTACCCTTTTACCGTATATTTGGTTTTTGAGTTATTGCATTTTCATGGGAATTATTGGCAGTTAGGCGTTTTCTGTTATTGAGAATTTAGAGTTTATAGAACTGAAATGAACTTCTCGATAGGGTTCTCGAACCACACCTGGTGGCCAATCATGACATCAGACACAAATACTCCAAGTTACTGGTTGAACTGGAGATTCCTAGTCTGTGCCATATGGGTGTTTGCAGCTATGGTGGTTTCTGCGCTGATAGTTTGGAGGTATGAAGGCTCACCAAAATCAAGAAATCAGCAGAGGGAGGATTTGCAAGAAAAAATAGGGACTTTGCACAAGGATGAAGTTTGGAACACATGTCACAAATCCATCCATCCTGTTTGTCTACTTACTTACAGGATACTTGCTTTTCTGGTGCTTCTTGCATTGCTCACTGCAGATGCTGTCGTCCATGGTGGTGGCATTTTTTACTATTACACTCAGTAAGGACATTTCTACCACTTTCTCTTTATTTTCTCCCGTAGTTTTCTTGGGCCAAACTCTATTAGTGCATCCATGTGTTGCAAGAACACATTGAAGTGTGGATTCTATTGTCTTTTTGCAATTCATTTTCGTTTGGTGCATTTTTCCGCCTCATTAGTTATTGTTATGGTCAGTTTTTAAAGTGTAGATACATGTATGACACACTTTGATTGCTTGTTCGAACATTGAAGTTTTAACTTCAATGCTCAACCCTCTTGCTCAATTGATTCCAAGAATTACATCACTGAATTTCCCATTTACAAGAAAAGCAGTTTCAGATGAAATTCTAATTGCCATTCAGCCAATTCAAGCTCTATTTGGGGGTGTTATTTGATGCACATAACAAAGATATATTATTAAATCTCTCTCTAATGCCTACTCATATAGAGCATGCAGGTTCCACTTTTCTGTTGTCCTCATAAAAGTTACATTTTGTTTTTCATTTTGTGCAAAATAGGTGGACATTCACTCTGGTGACCATCTACTTTGGGGTATGCTAATCTGCTCTATAACTATCATTAGAATGCATTTATATACATGTTATGGTAAAATAAGGTTGTCTCTGTATGATGTTTGTTTGTGCCCCCCTATATTTTAATTCATAATTTTATTTACAAACTTAAGTAGTAGAAAGAACAAAGAAATTTTTATTTCCTTCTTCAAACAACACTTCTCCTTTCCTAAATAATTCAGGTTTTATGGATATGTGCATGTGTGTAGTGTTTTTCTGTTACCGATTTTTATTTATGACACAAGTTGATGATGTTTCAACTAAATGTTGTAGCTAGGATCTGTGCTATCCATGTACGGGTTGAAATCTCGTAAAGAAATCTCGGCTGAGAGGGTTAACTTTGTAAGTTCAGATCCCGAGAGAGGCGCTTACGTAGCTCCTGCACTTGGGGATAATGCAAGTGCGCCTTGCATACCCAGTAGCTTGAATCCCCAAGATGAACCACCTCTTCTGGATGCTGCAGGCTTTTGGGACTATGCCTTGCAAATCATTTTCCAGGTAAGAACTCTCCGCTCAATTTGGATGAAAATTAAACCATGCTGCAATTTTCGAATGCAAGAAGTGAGTTGACTGAAACAATTCATCTGCAAAATTTGTGCTTCCCACTAACTGAACGGTTATATTGACAAAGTTTGTTGTAATCTTCTTCTCGACTTGTAGATGTGTGCAGGGGCAGTGGTTCTTACGGACTTTGTTTATTGGCTCATAATTTACCCATTTCTCACTACCAATGATTACAAGTTAAATTTTGTGAGTCAACAAACATCATTATATCTACCTTATTTTTCTTTCCCCGTTTAATTCAATTTTACTAGTTTAATCCTTTTTTCTTCATATTTTTGCTTGTTATGTTCCAGATTGTTAAGAGCCCAATATTGATAAAATAAGAGAGAAAATATGGGTTTATAAGGCTATGTGTTAGACTAGCTAATTGGCTGGATTCAATCTTTTAGTGTGATTTGACTCATGTCAGGCCTGTTCGGTCTACTAGCTTTCGTAAACCCGCCTGTTCGGTCTACTAGCTTGCGTAAACCCGCCTGTTCGGTCCACTTTGGTGGCAGAGTGTTAAGAGTCCCACATTGATAAAATAGGAGAGTGATCCTAGCCCAATCTTAGTTTATAACATAGATGTAGTGATATGAATGTTTATTGTGTTGAAATTGGGATTGGGATGAATGATTTATTCATGCGTTATACTCCGTACTTAGTTGTTTCATTTTTTCTACCTGCTTTCATACCGGTTACTGAGTTGAGAATCTGCTTATATACTTGCAGCTGGTCATTTGCATGCATTCTGTAAATGCTGTTTGCCTTTTGGGCGATGTCATGTTAAATCGCCTCGTAAGTAGAAGCTCCTTAACCAAATAGCCAGTCTCCTACTAAGCTAATTGTGGCACTTCTGCTATGTCTAACCTGTTTATAATTGCTTCTTCCAGCGATTCCCTTTCTTCCGAATTGCATATTTCATCCTTTGGACATGCGTATTTGTCACTTTCCAGTGGATCATCCATATGTGCGTTTCACTATGGTACGCATACATTTTCAATGTTATAACCATCAACTCCCTACATTTGTTTGAAGTTGAAACCATTTTTTTTCTCTTCATAAACATCTATAATTACTTGTTTTCAACAGGTGGCCTTATTCATTTCTTGATTTGTCATCTCAATATGCTCCCTTATGGTACGTTCTACTGTACTTTAGACAAATCATCCTCTTATATATTTCGGGTTTTAGTCATAATAATAGTGAGCGAGCATTAGTGACAACATAAAATTGCAGGTATTTCGGAGTTGGGGCTCTTCATGTTCCGTGCTATGTTATCTTCGCACTTATCATAAAAATGAAGAAGTATTTCTTGTCGAGATTTGTCCAGACTCCTTAGGAATATAAGGCTGAGAAAGATGGGAAGGCTATGAAATATGATTCTTAGTCCAAATAGATTATCACTGTACTTGATTTTCAGAAGTATTTTGGTGATAATATAGTCCCATAAAAGGAATATATGAATTGTTCATTTGCAAATTGTGGGACATGTTGGAAAACATGTGCATGGGATACAGCAGTTGATGCACAAAGCTTTGTTACCTGAAACTGGCAAAAAGTTGAAAACATGGCAGAAATTTAGCATCAAATTCAGATTCTGGTTCGTCTTTATATGAATGATTTGCCCACTTGGTAGAATGTTTGTTTTGAGATTTAAGAACACTTACATATATTAAGGAAAACAATATGGCTGTGCACACCTTTGTTTATGTGAAAGAATATTGATTTATGGGACTCCCTTTTTTCTGGTGCTGTCCTCTCAACTATGGCTGCTATTTTCACATGCAGTGAAGCTTCAATTCAGCATAACGCACAACGCAACTCAACAAACTTCAAACATTTCATATCCTATTATAAGCAAACTTAAAATATAATTAATCATGATTGGCTTGGTAACTACAAAGTTATAACTTTTCAATAGAAACAGCCTATAAATCTTATTGGTTTGAGCCGGTTAGCTATGAACAATTTAGACTGATTTATCTCCTTAGGGTTCTTTGTCGACTATTGTTATAAAATAAGATTTAACAAGTGCATGCTCGGATAGTAAATATTTGATTAGTGATTACAGATTTCTCTTGTTAGAGAATCCACTAAGGCATTGGTTTAAAGATGACTATACTCAAGTACAATTTTTAAATAAAAATACTTAGACCAGATTCAACAATCACCGACCTTAGCTCAGTTGGTAGAGCGGAGGACTGTAGTTGAAAGCAGATGATCCTTAGGTCGCTGGTTCGAATCCGGCAGGTCGGATATTTTGTTTTCTATTTCAAGGTTTAAAGTCTAAAGATGACTATATTCAAATACAAGTTACAACTAGGCATTAAATAAATATATCTAGACCAAATTCCTCAACGACCGACCTTAGCTCAGTTGGTAGAGCGGAGGACTGTAGTTGAACGCAGATAATCCTTAGGTCGCTGGTTCGAATCCGGCAGGTCGGAGCTTTTGTTTCCTAATTGGGCTGAAGTGGAAATAGTTGTCACTATGCATTTTTTGCGCTTTTGTTTCCTAATTGGGCTGAAGTGAAAATAGTTGTCACTATGTATTTTTTGCTCACATTTAAATTTTAATGTAAAATGTATACATATATTTTTGTATAATTTCTCATTTCCCCTTTATAATTGAAATCATAAAAATATATTACTCCGTATAATTTAAAACTATTCATTTTTTACTCACATTTTAGTTTTATTGTAAAATGTGTGTGTGTGTATATATATATATATATATATATATATATATATATATATATATATATATATATATAAAATTACTCATTTCCCCTTTATAATTGAAATCATACACATAAATATATTATAATTTCAAATAATTAATACATATATATGATATAATTGAACAAATATGTTCATTATAACTAGGGTTGAGCAAAAATCAACTAACTCGTTAACCATTATAAGGGCTCGAACCAAACCAAACCCGATATCACTAAATCGACCCAAAATCAGCAAAATACCAATTTTGTTTTATCGGGTGGGGATGGTAATTTTTTAAACGACTCAGCCGAATACCCAAAAGTATGTAGGGTTAGGGTTAGGCAACAACAAAATGACATCATCTTTCATACGTACACAAACACACACATACACATGTACACTACACGTTTAAGATTTACTTATGGTGAAAGTCTCATTTGCACAATCGCATTTGTTCAATCTTCTAGGCATCTCTTATTCTCTTCTCTCGTTCTATGTTCTCTATTTTCTCTCATAGTCTCATTCTCTAAGACCTAAGTTCTCTTTCTCTAGTTCTCTCACAAACTCTGAGACTTTGAGTTATCTCTACTCTCTAGTCTTATCTCTTGACAAATTGACCGATCCGTTCTCTCGATTTTCCTTGAATTCTTTGTTATCTCATAAACTCACTTAGTCACAATCTCACTCTTTGAGATGGTCATCTCCGATGGTCCATTCCTGATGTTTGGTGATTCGGTCCCGATGGTACATACTTGTGGAGTGGTGGAAGACCTAGCAAATACGCTGGTAATTGGTGAATTCCTTACTAGTCTCCGTAGAAACCCCTATTCTCTAGAGAATTTTTGGGAGAAACGAACTAAATCGCAAACCCTAATTTTATATTTTTTTCATTTATTTATTTTATTGTGATATACAATGTGAAATATGTTTGTGTATTTCTGTTGTATATGTTGTATACAATGTGAAATATTATTGGTGGAAGTCGTGTGCTTTATTATGAAATTTTTAGTGTTGAAATGCCCTTAAATGGCCCTCGATTTTATCATTTAATCTGTGAAATTTCATTGTTGAAAGATCCCATAAATGATCCTTGATTTTATCATGTAATATTTGGAATTTCTAGTGTTGAAATATGACCCTTAAATGGCCTCTGATTTTATGATGTAATATGTAAAATTTTCAGTGTTGAAATGTCCATTCATGACCCCTAATTTTATCATGTAATCTGTACAATTTTCAGATATTGATAGAAGCCCCTAAACTGAAATCAATATAAAGTTTATATTTTTCAAATCCAACGTAATCTCCGATATAAATCCATAACCACAAATATTCACCAGATTTTCAGAAAAAGGGTTTTGTACACCATATGTGTGTGTGCACGCGCGTGCGCTTAGTGATTTGAATATACACACTTAAAATCCACAATTTCCCCAAACACAATGTTTACACCAAAACCAATTAATCAGTAAAATTTTTTAGGATATAATAATTTTGTAAAACACATAATAATTCACAAAAATACCATGAGCATCAAATTGGGGTATAGTAAAAGTGGTGAACATAGACGTTACTAGAAATGAGAAGAACTACTATAAGAGAAGAGATCGATTCTAGTGATTTTTGGATGATATAAATATTAAATGACTACGGTATTTATAGGTGAATTTAAGATTTAATCATGTAAATAACATAAAATTTGAGGTATAAAATGAATTTTTCTCCCTACTAATTTGAATATAAAATATAATATCTCTTCCTTAATTTGTTATCACTTTGTCTCCCACTTGCCATCTACTTGCATAATAATTTTTTTTCAAATATATAATATATTGAAACATATATCATTGGATTTATTTTATTAAATTTCCCCCAATAATATGTTATAATATATTATATATTTGAATTTTATGCAAGTAGATGGCAAGTAGAAGAAGTGATAGCAAATCAAGGAAGAGATATTATATTTTATATTCAAATTATTAGGCAGAAATTTTTATTTTATATCTCAAATTTTATGTTATTTACAATATTGAACCCTAAACTCCACTTATATAAATACCTTAGCCATTTAATATTTTGATCATCCTAAAATCATTCAAATATCCTCTATTATAGTAGTTATTCTTTCTAGGAAGAGAAACTCTCTATAGTTTTCGTTTCACTACATAGAAATAGAATGTGATATTCTCCTAATAGTAAAGATAACATTATTTATCTCTTAATAGTGAGAATACAATTTCTTTCTATGTAGTAAAGAGGAAACTATAGAGTTTCTCTTCTTGCGAGAAAGGTGAAGAACTACTGTAAGAGAGGAGATTTGAGTATTTTTGGATGATGAGAATGTTAAATGGCTATGGTATTTATAGATGGAGTTTAGCGTTCAATTTTGTAAATAACATAAAATTTGGGGTATAAAATGAAATTTTCTCCCTAATAATTTGAATATAAAATTAATATCTCTTCCTTGATTTGCTATCATTTTGGCCGCCACTTGCCATCCACTTGCATAATAATTTGTATTCAAATATATAATATATTATAACATATTATTAGGATGAGATAATTTAAAAAAGGTTTATTTAGTGATACAACACTTGAAAAAATATTTTGGAAGTGTTTAGGCATAAAAACTGAATCAACGAGAAAATTCCGCCTCGATGCCTGTATGAGCCTCGTACGGACGTACATGGCTCATACAAGACACCCCCCAACAAAATACTAGCTATGTACAAGCGTATAAGGATCTCCCAAAAGAAATTTAGAAAAATCACAAAAATTACTCTCGTACGAACTACGTACAGGCGTACTTTGATCATACAAAGCCTAGAAAATACATAGTATCACAGAACATTTTAATACTTAATTCAATAAGAAAGTCAATAAAAGTCAATTGTCTGACTAACTTAGTTCAGTTAGTTGGGATTGCCCTTATTTCAATTGTATTGTACTATTGTAGCATTATGTTTAAGTAATTGGTACAAGTATTTATATATATCTACAAAACTATCATAATATATAGACGCAAGCCTTATGACCTAGAAGCATACCATTACCATTTTGGGAACAATATTATAATAACACAAGCATTTGGAAATCTGTAGACCAATTGAGTCGCATTTTGCAATTTATTTATTCTTCCCGTCTCAAAGGTAGGAGCAGTGATGACATTAAGGAAGCAACATTAAGTTTGTAATTTAAACTTACAAAAATTAATAATGATATAAATAAATGAGTAATAAAGACAACAATAGAAGTGTAACTTTGTCTACTTTTATCTGTACTAAAAACCTTTGGCTTTTGTACAATAGTGCTTATTATTGTACTATCAAAAACCACGCAGTTCACAACACATTTACTGTGGTTTCTATTATTCTTATGATCTTTCAAATTTTAGTCTTTAAATTTTAATCTGTTATGTAGCGCTAGCGGACATTTATAAACTACTCTTTTTCTTTTTCTTTTTTTTTTTAATATATGTCTCAATATAAATGTTTACATTAAGATTTATTGTATAAAGTAAAAATTGAGATTAGAAAATGAGAATAATATAATATTTTCCTATTCTTATTTATTTCACTGTATTTGTTCTCCTTTACAATGATACCAACAACTTTTTGTACATAATTTAATATTATAATTATTTTTTTTTAAATCATTAAAAAAAATAAAATTTGTTTCAGCTCTATTCAAACTTTAAAAATTGATTTTTTGATTTTTTAAAAAAATTAACCTTGTCAGCTTTAACTTTACCAATTCAGGTTTTATATACATCCATAATTCACTGTCACCCCCCGGTGCCCACTTGGCAATTAAAGTCACTGACACATCACAGCTGTCACCATTTCACTTTGTCTTCCCCATTTACATAAATTATTTGTATTCCCATAATACTACTTTAATTTTCTCAATAATAATCGTAAAACTTCTTTTCAAATCATATACGTAGTATTTCTTATTAGTGAAGTGTCAAATTAAATATTTTTTTAGATTTAAAGAATTATTTCAAAAGATAAATGTCATGTCAGAGGTCGAAATTAAGCATCGTTGAAGTGAACAAAAGAATAAGTATTTGAATTATTGTATGAGTTTTTCTTTGCTTTATTATTTACAGCGTATTCTAGTTGGAATCCACAGTGTGGATCTCCGCACCGAATCTTGTCTCTTCTTATTTTTCTCAAAATTTATATTCCCCCAATTCACATGTGACGCTACAAAACAATTAACACCCTGTCCCTTCGAACCGCTTCTCCAACCAATCCCGTCCAGCCAGCTCAGCCACCATAATATCTCTGCCGTTTGGGCCCCACTGACACGTTTCCCTATGTCTGTAATAACCCCTCGGCTACAATCCCAGCTGTCTCCCATTTAATTTTATATCACAAACCCTACACGCCACGTCATCTAAAGTACATCTTAGCTGACCGCCCAATGGGAATCGTCCACGTAACCAGCTGCCTATTGGGTAGAAACCCTTGACCTGCGGTGAGAGCGGCTGAGTTTGTTGGTGAGGGCGAGGAGGACCTGCCACGTGGCGTCTCCTTCCACCATCGGATCGTTGAACAGGAGGGCCCGGCGAATGCGCGGGTCCCACAGCCGCCGTCGTATGGCGGTGAGATTAGTCGCCGCCGCTTTTTCAAGAATGGGGCCGAGCTTGGGCACGTCTTTTTCCAACACCGTGACGGAGATTTCCTCCCACGGCACGGCAGAGGGGAACGGCAGTTGGATGGCGTCAGCAATGATCACCGGCACGCAGCCCAGAACCACAGACTCCACCAGCCGGGGACTCCACGGCGCCCATCCTAAAGGGCACAAACAAAACGTTGACCGTAGAATCTCCGACTGGTAACCGGCGAATCTGTGCCGCTTGAGATAAAACTTCCGATCGTTGCCGTATTTCCGCAGGATTACCGTCCGGACCCCCCTGTAGGGTCATTCACGTCATTTCACATACAACTAAACTTTCTAATAAAACGGTTGTTAATTTAACTCAACTACATTTGAACAGTTGAAAACTTACTTCCCGTAAAAACGACCGCTAACGTTCTTGGGGTGAAGTTCCATTTTGCCCCTGAAAAACGCGAAAATATCTCTCCGGGTATCAGCTCTCGCCGTCGTCAGCGTCTTCCGTACACTTTCCGGCGAAACATACGGCGGAATAACAACATGCTCCACATCTTGACACGGGTGATTATATTTGACTCCAAACGTTTGCAATACGATCGAGTTCCTCAAAAACTCCGGCACTCCATCGGCGATTGCTGTGTCCTCCTATTCCACAACCAACAAAAAAAAACATAAACTTTCATTGAATACCTCGAAAGAAAAAAACGTCGGGGCATAAACAACGTGAAAGATCGCATTTTTTTGGCATACCAATGTGTGAAAACATGACCCAAAATCGTGGGATGCGACGAAGACGTGGTCGGCGCCGCGGCTGCGGTTCCAGAAGGGAAGGTCAGAGGAAATGAGGCGAATGGCGGAGGAAATAAGATTCCGGGCGTGACCAATCGCCGGGAAGCCATTGACCGTGCTGAAATTGCAAGAAACGTAAACGGGGACGAAGAAAAAGTCAGCCTCCCACGGGTCAAACGTGCGAACCTCGCTGCTCGCCAAGGCTCTGTGTATAGCCACCTCGGAAGCAAACAAATGGCTGCTACACCGCTCATTCAACCAATCAACGTTATATTTCGCCGGCAAATCGTATATGTAAACCTTCAGATCCTTAAACACATCTGAGCCCCAGAAACAAACTCGTCAAATCAAATAACCACATAAAACTAATTTAACAAACCCATGCTAAACGTGAGAAAAGATTACCTTGGTGGGTGTTGGGCTGGTGGAGAAGAGAAGAGTTATGGGATTCGATGAGGGCGCGAGAAGCTTTAGATTGGCGGACGACGGTGGTCCGGGAGATGATGGCGGAGGTGGCAGGTTTATGAGTGAAAATGAAAGAGGCGAAGAAATAGAAAGAAAGGGAAAACCAGAGAAGCCATTTGAAATATCTATGGCAGAAGCTCTTCTCAGAGGCCTGTCTTCCTGGTCTCAACAACTTCATCCTCACATAAAACCCTTTGTTCCTCGAAGTTTGTCTTCTCATCTCCGTCATCTCTCCCCTATTAATCGATCAAAACAGGGGAGGCGACGGAGCTCCAGCCCAGCCTGCAGGTGAGAGGTGGCTATCGGGGTTTGGTTTTGGTCTGAAGTAGAATCCAAGAAACAAGGGTGAAAACTGAAAATTTTGAAAAAAGAATGGTTTTTTGGTTGATGGTTCGTTTTAGCTTGAAGAATAAAGAATTAAACAAATATGATGTGGTGTATAAGATAAGTTACCCAAAATAATCAAGAACTATATTTTTGTTAAATTTAAGGCGGTTGTGTTTTCGAGAAAAATAATAATGAGGGAGGTCACGGAGATGGAAGGAGAGAGAGAGACTTGAGAGCGGAGGGGTGAAGATGGTGGGGGGTTTGAGAAGGTCACATTGTGATGGATCACAAAATATTCAGAATGAAACAGCAACTATAGTCTCCGTGTCTCAGCTGGATGACCATGCCTCATGGAAAATGTCTATTTTGACCTTTGAGATATGGTTTAAAGAAGCTCGCACGAGCTTATCTCAATGTTTTAGTAGGCAGTATTTTAAATAAGAGATCAAAGTTCGAATCTCTACCGTCATAGTGTGGAAATTATGTCTAAAATAAGTAAATCCCTTATGTGCACTAACATTCTGCCTTAGTCACTGATGCTCTATGGGGTCCCTTATGCGCATCAACATAGTCACTATGCTCTGGCGGGTCCTTAAGGTTGGGGATTCAAACTTTTGGGAGAAGATATGATTTAAGAAGATTGACTTTACGACAATCCCAACCAAGTTAGGCAAGCCTATTAACTACTAATCATAAGGTTGTAAGTTACACTCTTGACAAAAGCGACCTATTGACTTTATTTCCTTGTAATCCTCTATTGCTTGGAGTCTCAAAACAATGTTTATCACATGTAAATTGATCCAATCGTTATACCCTACACCACGGCGCACGTAGCACGGTGCGTCGCGCGCCTCCCAAAACGACGTCGTTTTGAGAGGCGCGGTAGGAAGTTGCTGTGATTATGTGTATTTGTTCACACAATTATGTGTATTTGTTCATACAGTTATGTACATTTTTTATACAATTATGTACATTCTTTTTATACAATTATGTACATCCGAATCAGAAAATTTGTGTGTATTATGTTAAGAGTTGATGTGTATTATGTTAAAAGTTTATGTTTATTATGTATTATGTTAGATTATGTGTATTATCTTTTAAAAAGAGTATGTATATTTTGTTATATAATTATGTACATTCATGTATACAATTATGTGTATTCTAGTATAACATTATGTACATTTTTGAACAACGAGTTTTTTTTAAAGAAAAAATTACTGCCATTCACTGGGGCGGGAAATTTCAAAAAAAAAAAAAAAAAAAAAAAAAAAAATTAAAACGACGTCGTTTTGCATCTGGGCGCACAGTGCAACGCGCACCGTGGTGTAGGATATAAATTGCCAAATTGATCATTCCTTTCTCATGATCATATTAGATGCTAGTATAGAGAATATTAGAATATGATACTGAAAAGTTACTATGGTGTAGTTTTAGGATAGGAGATTAGGAGTGGGATGCTTTGTAGGTAGAAGGTTGGAGGAAGGGCAAAGTTGGAAGTAAGGGGAGGCATGAAAAATATGAAATAGAAGCATTTGGTAAAAGGTTAAGAAAGAGTGTCTGAAAAGGTAACTTTGGAGTGGCTGCTAAGCGTTTAAAGTGTTGTCAAAAGGTTGAATAATTCCCATTCCCATACCCATAAGCACATGATATGACAGACAGTCTCAAAAGCTTAAAGCTGAACTCAATTTCTGATTTTGAGTCAAATTTCAATTTGGTGTTAATTAAAGCTTGTGTTTTGGTGTAAAGATTCCTTGTCAAGATACAACTAATTAAGCTCATTTCTTGATCGAAAAAAAATAATATTTTGGAAATATATACTTCACGTCGTCTCCACTCCTTTTGATTCACCAATCAACATACAATAATATTTAATTACAGTTGACATAAAACTTAAAGCATGATTAATGTTATGGACTAAATTAAAGTTGTATTAATTTATGAATTCATTGGCTGGCCTGATGAAATACAACTCCACAATCATGAAAGGAAAGGAAAGGAAAGTTGTCATACTTATCTGTTTCATTCAGTGCCAAAGTATGATGTATGGACGGCTTTTTGATATGTATAAAGATAATAGTGGCAATGTCGTATTGTTCATCCAATTCCAATGTTTAAACATAATAGGATAGACTATAGAGCATTATTTTTTGTCCACTTTTTTTATTTGTGAACTGGAACCTGCAGTGACATAAGCACCCATATAAATATGTTACCACTTATATTGCAATCTTGAATGTGAGTGATTGTGATGGATCGCCATATAATTTGCATGTGTGTTTAATTTTTTGTGAATGTGTCTAGCTAATAAACAACTCTAATCACGTCCCATAAGAACTATAATACAGCTTCAAGTATATAAAACGAGAATCTGATACCTTAAATTAAAGATGACAATATAAACTAATTAAGTTAGACCGTACCCATATGAGTTGGCATGAGCACAACACGAATGGGCTAGCTTAGGCACATCCACGATAGTGTTGTATTCTACCACTCAAAATGTTATATAGGTCAAGTTGAGTTAGACTAGGCTGACTATTTTAAAATGTGGGTTGAGCCGACATAACTCACATTCTAACGTGGATTGTGTTAGCATGACTCTTTGATTGTGGGCGTGGACCAAATCAGCATAGCACAATCTATTTGGCATCGCTATTTTACATTATTAGCATGTTTAACCTTATAAACTATCACTAAGAAGTCACTTTTCAATTCTATACTATTGAAAACCCTATTATATATGGTAAATTGTTCAAATAAAGTTTTGCGTGAGGCTATTATTGTTACGATTGTGTACAAAGATGTTGTAATTTGATTATTCAACTAATCAACTAAAAAAAAAAAAAAAACAAAAAGATCATTACGTGCAAAGCTCATTATATTACTCTTTCAATATCAATTTATTAACCTATATATAATAAACATCATAATTTCTAATTTTCTATCCACATATAGCCCGTGTACATCATCACCCTATGCTTTATATTACATTGAATTGCAGCCAAACACATAGGATATAGGATAATTAGGTGATACCTAATTAATTATATTCTACGAAAAAAAAACAATTAAATTAATTGAACCGAGTAGATATCTGTCAACTAAGGGGCCCTAATAAAAAAAATAATGCCAAATTGCTAACTGTTTTTGGTTGAATATTTCATTATCTTAGTGGAAGCTGTCATAGTTGCGCTTGGCGTATGCGTTAAGGAACCTTAACGGATTGACTTCATCAAACCTAGGTTTATTTATAGGATGATACGATAAGCTTTAGCCCCCAACAACAACTGCTCTAAAACAACACAATTTAGCTTCCATTTTGCAACCTCTCTTTAGCCTCTAACCTAACACGTATTCCAATACACCAATCAACAAAATAAAATCCAACTCTCAAACCCATTAGAGGGCCATATAATTTAATTCAGCAAAAAATTAATCATTGAATCCATCCGTAAAAACTCTATATACACAAAAAAATATATATACTCCGTCTATAATATATTTTTAACTATCAGAGTCAATGCCCCCACCAGAATTCAAACATTTAACACCTGTGACTTCCTATTTAAGAGAAAGACGTTATTAAGATATAAACTACTTAGAAAAATAATGTTTTTATAATACCATAATTAATTTATCTCTTCATAACTTTTATTTTTTTTACAAGATCTCATCATAACTAGTTAATACACTTAATTATTAGAATCATTAACTCCATGGCGTTTTGTTATATGCACAACTTGATTAGAATCCACAAGACCACAACCTAATAATTATACATTGATTTACTTAAAATCGTGCAGCCACCACTAAAATATATATGCCTTGCAAGTAAAACTTGTATTGTGACTCAAATTAAAAAAAAAAAAAAAATCATAAAAGGTAAAATCATACTAAGTTGTCTAAAGCTAATCAACTCACATCAAGAAGATTAATAAATAATTCATTAAAAATTTTATAATTATTAAGTCAATTATCTAATCAATTTGATCGGAATTTACAATCTCACAAAAAGTGATTATGAAAACGGTGGTTGCTAGGGACATTGTACGTTTCGCCAGGTTGTTCGAGAGGGCTGTTTCGAGTATTCAAATGAGTGTATGCATGCAGTGGGCCACCCATGCATCCATATGATATGATTGTGATGTTCTCCATACCCTTTAACTTAACATTTTTCCTTTCCTCAGATTACTTCAATAATCACCATCTTCCTCAATCATCATCTCATCAACCTAATATCTTACACCCTAATTATGCGCTCCATTATATTACCCTCGTCATTTAGTAATAATCATGTTTTCTCCAAACTAATTAAGGATAATATAATCTTCATTATTGTAACTTCAATTCACTCCATTGCTACCAAAGTCTTTTTACGGTGTAGTATTATATTTTACAGTGAAGATCTTAAAAATTAATTGTTTTTAGTAGATCATCGGAGATCAGAGATACCACCTTGGCATTTGCTTTGTCGTGTCCCAATAAGGAACATGAACATTGAGGAGAGTGATGGCAAATAAATATGGCGCTACCAACAATAATATAGTAACGTTAGTATATATGTACATACCTACTCCTGCGTTTGGTTTTCTTGTTACGTTGCTGCTGTATGTGTAGGGATGGACCATTCTTGTGGACCGCTACTACTCCCTTTTGTCTACCTTAATTAACCTTCAAAACTCTCGAGCACAGCTCAATTGGTTAATCCGATCCTAATCAACTTAAAATAAGTTTATAAATTTATTTTTACCGGTAGTCACAAAATATATGATAAGTTTGAATCTTACAAAAGATCCCCTAAAAAAAATTATAAAAGGGACAACCCCAGTCAAATTGGTCATGTTGTTGATTTGGTAACTACAAAATTACAAATTTAACTCTCAATAAGAACGATTTATTGACCTAATTGGTTTGAACCGATCAGCTATGTACAAAATAACGTAAGTTGGTTTACTTGTTGTGATTCTTTACCGGTTAGAGAATAATCTAAGCCGAATTACTCTAATATGATCCTTTGCTAATTAGGTCACAAAATAAAATTTATTCAGTATTTACGTACTCTTGAGTAGTAGCTGCAGATTTAAAACTCAGAGGATAAGGGGGGCCTACAGGAATAGAGAGCGAGCTGTGTATGCACATGGAGTGTAAATTAAAAAAGGAGTAATATTTTTGGATAGGGATGCATGTGATGAATTATTATTGTTATTAGCTCAGAATTCCACTACTTGCTTTACAGTAGGGGAAACCAGAATGGGCATGTGTCTTTGTCTCTGTTTC